AGGAGCAGGCCCTTGGCACCGGCTGGTGCACTGGTCCGGCTGAGATCCAGAACAGGAACTTGGGGGGCTGGGGCTGCAGCTGACAACGTGCGACATCTGACAGCACTACTTAACTTACTATCCCTTTCTGGCTTTGGGTGTAGAAAATTCGAGGGGACGGTCACCCAGGTTAGGGGCCTGGCCAGCCACATCAGGGAGTCAAGCGGGCACCCTTCTAGTTCCTCAAGCGGGGAGCCCACTCTGCCGGCATCCATGCTTCTGACATTTCTCAATTAAAAAAAACGGCTTCATTTTATTCCGAGGGGAGCATTTCACAACCCTGGATTCGCTTCCTCGTCTTCCATCTCGGTGTTTTCCTGCCTGATGCGGGAACTCGCGACTGCTTCGCCTCGGTTCCGGCAAAGGTCTCTGGGCCTCTGCGACCAGGCGACGCGCCCCCTCATCCCACGGCTGCCGTGTCGGCTCCTTACCTGCAGCGACATGGTCCCTCTCACGGCCACCACGACAGATTCCTTCCTGTGGTCCAGAGCCACTAAAAAGGGAAGCTCGTACACCTGCGGGGGAGAGAGACACGCGAGGCCTGAGGGGTGCGCACACACACCGACTGGCACAGCGAGGCCAGCCCAGCGTCCACCAACGCAGCGATGAAAACCCGGTCCCCATGGCGCGGAAGCAGGGCACTGACAGGCTCGCGTCCTCGCTCAGCGGAGCGACCACTGACGCTTGTACGCAAGAGGCGTTCACGAAGCACGCGTGCAGGGAGTCACTGGATGCATCCGGTTCTGTGGTAACCAACTGGAAATCGCCCCTCTGGGCCAGGACCAACAGGTGCTGTTCACCAACGACTCTGCAGGTCACCACCACCTGTCACCCTCGGGCAAGGCAGGGCCATCTCAGTGGCCAAGACCAGAGTCCCCACCTGGTGTGAGTGCAAATGGGGCACGAGGCTCCGGGCCTGGGAGCCCCACCATCACCCAGAACCGACCACAGGCAAAGCTGTGACTCCGGGCTCCCGGCCTCGGAGCCAGCCCTGGGGAACACTGCAGGCGTGGCATCAGGCAGGCCTGGCTGAGGGACCCCGCTCGGCCCCTCCCCTGGCGCGTGAGTGCCGGCAAACGTCGGCAGTGCTATCTTCAAGGAAACAATGGCACCTCTCTCTCCTGGCTGGTGTGCCGACAGAAAGCGCCTGGCTTGTGGAAAGCAATCCATCGATGGTGGCAAACCGTGATGATGGCCACCTGCTTGTGCTGGACAGCTGTGTATTTGAAGCAAGCAGGAAAGAAAGACTGCCGACTTTCACAGGAGAGGGACTGATGATGTCGTACGGGGGCCCCCTGAACAGTCACAAACCCTCTGAAAAGCACTGTCCTTGAAAACTCCTCGGTGCTCCCTGCCACCACCACTCAGCGTCAGGGCAGTGCGGAGCTGCACGGCAGACGCGCCGAGCGTCGAAATAACGTCTGCGCCCGGGGTCACCCGGGGTGGCGTGTGACCTGGGCCTCGGGTTTTCTGTCGACTCCCCAGGTGACTCAATATAGTAGTCTGGGAGCCACTGGGCTGGAGAGCAGTACGCTCACCAATGGTTCCCAAATCATTTGCACACTGGGGTCACCGGGGGGGCTCCTGAGCTGGGGCCTCAATGCCAGATACTCTGATTTAAAAGATCCGGGCTGTGGCCTAAACCTCTGGAGGTTTAAAAGCTCCCAGGAGGCTCTACGAGGCAGCGAAGTTGAAAACCACCATACACCAGAGGTTCTGACCTTTGCATGAGAATCACCGGGAGAGCTGCGAAGCCATACCAAGGACGGGGCGTAGAAACCAGACAGAGCGGCTTCCGTAGGCCACCAATTCCCCAGCGATCCCAACACCCTCTGGACTGCACCACGCGACCGTGCACGGTGCTCAGACCCCAAAACAGGGCTGGTTAACTCCCGACACCTGTGTGTGATCAACACCCAGGTGAACTCACTGTTCTCCCATAAAAGACGGACTCATGTAAAACAGCATCACACCTCTGACGGAGACGTTTTGCTCCATCTACGTTAAACCCGTGCGGGCTTCCAGGGGGTCTGAAAAGCCTCTGAAATGGTATGTAAAATTGGGGAGGGGGAATAAGTATGTGTGTACACCCACGTTTTTCTGGGGTAGTAACTTATAACTTCCAGCAGAATCTCAGAGGACCCAGGCCCCCAAAGACGTTAGGCAGCACGGTCCCACTCCACCTTGTCGTGAAAGCTTATGTGGATGAAATCCCGGTGCTGGAGCCCCGTCGTCTGCAGGATGGAGCCGAAGTGGCAGGGGAGCTGATCACCTCCAATCAAGTCGTAGTCTGTCGTCCTGCTTCTGCAACTAAAAACGGGGACAACTGAGCCACTTGGCAAGGAACGCCAGGCCCCCGTCCTGTTTTCCTAGCGAATACGAGGACGAGAGTTTACGGTTTTTAGGCCTTCGTCTGGCTAACGTGCGGCGGCCTTTAGCAGATAATGTATTTCTGTGCACGCTTCTTACTAGAGTTCTGACTTCTGGAATCGTGTTAATGCTTTACACATTCAGAAAACTAAATCAACAAGGACTGAGAGACCCTGAAGTCACTAGCAGTGGGGCTCGCTGGCATCGTGTGTCTCCCACTGTGAGGCAGCAAGGACACAATGTTCCTCATGGAGCATTCGTGCCAAAAATGTCCAACTTGAATCTCATGAAGAAACCACCAGACAGATGCAAACCGAAGGCTGTTCTGCAGGGTACCGGGACTGCCCTTTTCAAAATGTCAGTATCAGGAAAGATAAACGATAACTGAGAAACTGTTCCAAACCGCAGGAGACTAAGACGACGTGATAACTAAATGCGATACATAACCCTAGAGTGGAGAAAGACTGCTATAAAAATGTTATTGGGACAACTGGAAAACTCTGAATGTAAGTTTGTAACTTAGCGAATGATTAACGATGTGTTCTGAATTTTTAATCGTACTGTAGTTGTGTAAAAGCATGTCCTTGTTCTTAGGAAATACAGGCTGAAGCAATTAGAGGTAAAGGGGCATGACACCTGCGACCAGATCTCTACTGGTTCAGGGGACAAAGTATGTGCATACAGGGAGTGGTACAGCACATGACAAACACGGGTCACAGCTGGTGCCTCTAGATAACAGATATGTGCGAGTTCTTAGCACTGCTCTTGCAGTTTTTGAAATATTTTAAAATAAAAAGTTTTTTTTTTAAAGGAAAATACGATTGTTTTTAGAAAATAAACTATGGGCACCATAGCAAGCCATATCTGGAAGGAAGGTGGAGGCCTCAGTCCAGGCTGACCTACCAGTCACCGCCGACCCTGCAGAGGCCTGTGAACGGGTTTCTATAGATGTAAAGTGGCCACCCGTAGGCGGCTGATGCAAACTGCATGTAATGGTGGCAGTTTTCTAGTTCTGCATCCAAGTCAGCTTCCTGCAGGAGTAGAGGAAAAGCTTTTCTTCAGGGGGACGCGTTACGGAGAGGTCGACACACTAAGACCCTCAACCCACACTCATACTCCCGAGCCTCCCCTTCCCCTCCTCACTGATCACACCTCCCCGAGGATGTCCACAGGGAAATAAATGGTCCTTAAGCACAGACGAGACGGGCCCTCATTTTAGCAGCTGTGGCAAGCATGGCAGGGTCAGCGGCACAGGCCACTGATGACTCTTCTGGCTCCAGGGGGAATGAGCCAGCGACTTCCTGCCCGATGCAGGTGAAGACTAGCAGATTCCCACGCCACTGCCACAAGTGGGCCTCTGGGAACTAGGTGCTTGAATAGGTGACGAGAAACACATGCATCTATGTGGAATTTTCTCCTCCAAAAGCATAAAAATCTTTGGTAGGAAAACGCTCACCACACGAAGCCAAACTGCTTCTGCTCCCCAGGCCCAGAAAGAGCCAACACATTACCGGGGAGGATCAGGTCCCACCTGCAAGGCAGCCCTGACACGCACACACACACGCACAGCCGGCTTCCTGAGAGAGAGAGCTTGCCATGCATGGCGAGCCGGCCGGAACAGGTTCTCTCAGCCGGAACAGGTTCCCTCCGCCGGAACAGGTTCCCTCGACCTGAACGGCAGGTGATGAGGGCCTTCCCCAACTGAAAGGTGACAAACCACAGGTCGCGGGAAACACCACAATCTGATCGTAAGCCAACTCCTGAAACTGCTGCTAGCTAGGTTTTTTTTTGTTTTTTGTTGTTTTTAAGATTAGCTAAGGGGTGTGAAGGTCGAAACTGTACGACCCAGCAGAAGCTCGTGCTCACCTGGGCGGGCTCTGGGGAATGGCTGATCACCTCGTCGGGCTCCTGGTTATTCCTGATGCTGTCCTGCTGCTGATGGAGAAGAGTGAGGCCTGCCGCGATGTCACTGGGCACCAGGTCCGTGTCCTGGATGGGGAATCACAAGGGCCCATCATAAAACCCCGCAGGAAGTGCCCACGGTTCCTTAAAATCAGTTTTATACAGTTCACACACATGCGTGCGCGTGCACACACACATACACACATACACGCGCGCACGCACACGCGCACGCACACACACACACACACAGTTGCGTTATACGTAAAAAGGTGCTTTAAAAAGTATTTCCTTTTCGGGACTCGTCCTATATGTGAGCTTAATGTTTTTTACTGCCCTGCGTCGTCAGACAAATCCACTGGAGAGCATAAAAAATTTGCAGATCTCCATTTTTAAATTCCACTCCAAGTGACAGCTATTTTTAATCAACTTCCCACCTTTTGTAAAGTGAGAGAGAAAATGGGTAAACTCTCCATTTTTGTAGTAATGGCCGATTTTAGCCATGTTTATGTCCTCGGTGCTCAAAATGCTGTGACAGTTTTGTTGAAAAGTGCACGGCAGAGATTTATGAGACTGACCTTATGCTCACTGGGTGCAGCCAGCCTCAAAAAGAGCCCCAAGCGGGGAGGGCGACAGAGTGAGTCTCCAGAGCCTGACCTGACCCTTCTCCCCCAGGAGGCTGCGGAGCAGGCACAGATCCTCAGCCACAGCCGGGCACTTCTGCTCCATAGGAAAGAGCAGGTCACTTGGCCACCTGGCCACTGAGCCATCGGTGCCGCCTATGATGCAGGTTGACATCCTCTAAGAGGAGCCAGATTCTCTTCTTTTTTCAAGTATTTTAAGACTGGGCTGAAGCACTCCTTTAAAATGATTGAGGGCACACCCTTCTCTAATCCCCATATGGAGGCTGCTGCTAGGCCCGGGGGCCAGCCCTGGACAGTGTGGTCGACAAGAGAGAAGCGAGGAGATCACGGGCGCGCAGGACGTCAAGAGACCACCTCTCCCTTCCTGGGCCTCAGCGGTGAGCGTAACAGCAGTTTATCAAAGGCCAAAACACGAAAAGACACACATTAAATGTGAAAGGAAAACGAGTATTTTCAAATCACTGAAGCACCGCTCTAGAAAGATGGCACCTACTACACTGCGAGAATCCATTCAAACTTTCCTCCAGAGGCAGAACAGCCTATTGTTTCTATCAAGCTACAAAGCAGTGAGAGACCAAGGTCTGAGAGTATCTGCTGCGTGCCAGGTGGATGGGGGACATGAGAAGACAAATTATTACCAAAGTGTACTGGTTTCTTAAAAACGTATTCGGTTCATTAAAAACAAATTCAAAATCTTGGCAGTGTGATGAACGGGTGTCATCACCAGGATGCGCTGACCAGTGAGGCAGGGTTTGCAAACGCAGGGCCCTGGTTAATGCTCCCGAGGACTCAAGTACTTGTCCTGGGGCTATCTCCCCGTCCCGGACACCCACAGCTAACAAATTCTCAAGAGCTGTTTTCTGTGAACTGGGGGACGGGCTCAAAACACAGAGCACTCGTCTTAACGTAAGCAGCATTCACTTAATACAAGAAAGAGACGAAACCGGACCCCTTCGGCTTACTGAGAAGTAGGTGGACAAAAGCTCGGCAGTGCTCGAGAAAGCAACTCGAGTCTGGTCGTCTTTCCCAACGCAACAGCACAAGAGCTTGATTCTGGTTTCCCACACACTGGTGGCTGCTGTCCTGAGGCCGGTCAGTAACTGGCTTGACTCGTGACTATCCAGGTGACCAGGACCAGCAGAGGAATACGGAGCCATTTTCCCCCCCAGTGGGTCGAAGACAATGATAATGGTGACCACAGTGGAGAAGATGATAATCCAGCTGCAAAACACAGAGGAAAGAGCTGATGACTGTGGGTCTGACGGCCAGACGGGAAGCCAGGTGCCCCCCGGGAAAGTCAGGCTCTGCACCCATACAGCTGCGGCTCCAGCTACCGAGGCAGACGTGGTTCTCCCAGAACCGGGCTAAGGTGAGCAGCCTGTTTCTTCTAGAGAGTTCCTTATGAGCCTATTACTAACCCAGGCCCCACAAAGATCAGAGACTTAAAAGTAAAGACCACAAAGGAAAAAGGAGCTGTCTGGTGGGCAGAGCTGCAGCATGGGCATGGAAGCAGCTGGAACTTCTCTGCAGGCCCTGACCAGAACCCAGGCCCGTACTCCCCAGTGCTCCAGTTCCTCTTGGTAAAACCAAAAGAATTCTGCCACGTCACAAGATATTAACGGGCCTTTCGTTCACATGTTTAGATGGTTTTAGATTGCCCACGAGATGACGGGAAGACCTCACCTGATGACGACGGTTGCGATGATGCCATTCACAACTGTCTTGTCACACTGAACACTGTCTGCTATCCAGGAGGCCCCCAGAGAAGCCCAGACCATCTCTGGCAGAAAGAGAGCTAGGCGGATGTAAAGCAGCTTAGACATAGATTTCCGCGGTCCAGGATTACAAATGGTTCCTGCAAGACAGAAAATATTCGAACTGGTCACTTGCTTCCTTGGAGATGAAGAACTTATTTTCTACGAAAATATAACTCTTAGAGCACATACTGGTAATGTATGGACTCCCGCCATCTAACTTCTACTTGTAACTGGTAATCAACACCCAAGTTTAAGAGCAAGTGACAAAGTTAGGAATGCGAAACAAAAAGCCTCAGATTTGTTTCTTAGACTTACCAGGGTTTAAAAACACTTCAGAGCTCTAGCCAGATAATCAGTGACCAAATAATCACTGTCCAAATTGGGATACTTCTGAGCGCAAAGGAAGGTGCTATTAAAAATGATGCTGGGACAAAGAGAGAGAAGCGGTCACCCAAGTTCTAACCAGCCAAGAAAGCAAGCTCGCCGCCTGTCTGAGCCTCCGTCGATCCAGGCACCACGCAAACACTCTGCACCCATTATTCTTTAATCCTCACGACGACTGTGAGATAAGTCGCCACCCCGTTTCACAAACGAGAAACCTGAGGCTCAGAGAGCCTGGTTTCTACTTTCTGAAACATGATCCAGGTCTGCATGACCCCTCGCTTTTGAGAAATGAACAGTTCTGATGTTCAAGACCACTCAGAGAAGCCTAACATTTTAGACACAACGTTTTTTACTGCGTTTGTAAAACAAATCCAAATATCAACAGAGGCCCATGTGCTTTAATTCTTGATGCAAAACATCAACTCTCTCCCTCTGGGAAAAAGTTGTCATAAACACTAATTTAAGTAATGCGAAAATGCCATATGATTAAAACAAATACAATGACTGGAAAAAATCTAAGATCTAAAGAATGATTTAGTAAGGAAATAGCTTTTAAATTCTTTCAATTACCTTCCATTAGAATGAATGAATTACAAGTCAAATTTACAATAATAGACACTAACAGGCCTCATTTTTGGCACAAAGACAAAATCTAACAAGGTAACTGAATCTAAGGGACGGTGAGGGCATAAAAAAATCGGTTCTATATTTGGAGCCTGTTGTTGTACAACAGCTGATCACCCAAGTAACAGGAAACAGTATCTGCACACCCACTACTTCCTGGAGGGCTGGGGTTCTAGACAGGAGCACACCCCAACACTGTCAGCAGCACCAGGATCTGAAACTCCAACATGCTCACGTAGCATGACTAAAATCGACACCCAAATAAAGAAGCAGGAGATGAGGTTATGGTTAAGGTTCCAGAAAAGAAATAAGATACTGAAAAAATCTCCTTTATAGCGTTATGCCTGCCCAGAAAAATATATTTTATTTAGATATTTATTTTCTTCTCAAGATAAAGAGTTGCTGGTGTGGACCGGGCTGCTGCGGTGGGCATCGTGATGGCAATGCCCCAGAATTAGCAAGCACAGCTACGTCCCTGAGTGTCACTTCGTCCTTCCCTAGGCACAGCCATTTACGTTAGGAAAAGAAAAGGCAGGTCTGCCACAGACCCCATGGTCCGATACGTCCAGCCACTGCCGTAATTTCCTTCAGCATGAAGTGAGCAATGAGCTTTAGGGACACAAACACAGAGGAGATGCAACATGTCCTATGATCGAAACCAGATGTGTGGCAGACCATGTATGTCGAGGGTTCTCTCAGAATGTGGGCGTCGCAAGGGTGGAACTTCACTAATTAAACCTCCCACGTGGTGGGAAGAGAGGGATTCCATCAGGGAGGTTGTCATACCACAGCCAGAAATCACCCCAGGAATACCAAGATTCTTCCCAAGTAAGCCATACAGATGACCAAGAAAAAGAGGAGAGGTAAATGCACAAGCTTCAGTCTTTTGGATTAAAAACAACCTATTCTATTTGTTCCACACATGCCCTCTACGGCTTGCGGTGTTTCTTTTAGAGAGAGAAGTCATCCAAAAGCTTAGTAAACGTGATCTTTCGGCTCAAAAGACAAATTACTGAGATGACTTAGGAAACGAAAGGGGCAATGGAATATCCATGCATCGAGAATAAAATACACCGATGTTAACAATTATTAAAAAAGTTACTAAAAAAATACCTAAATTTTACAACTGTAAAAAAAAACGCATTGATTTTGTGCAGGTGATGTGTGTAAAGGGCAGAAGAGTTCAAACAGTTCGAGCAGGTGTACAGTGCCCACCCAGCCTTCCTTCCACTGCTGACTCCATCCTTCGGTCACCTTCCTAAAAGTAAACTAGGGACGCGTGTAGTCTCCCAGAGTCTGCATGTGAACAGAACGTGTCATGTATATACACACCCTCCAGAAAAAGCGGCCAACTAACGCAGTGCTCTGCACCTGCACACACGGGGGCTCTCTCCTCACCTGCTCCCAAAGCTCTGCTCATTCTTTCGACAGGTGCGCAGCAGACCATCATCTAGACGAACGTCGCTTTACCTAACCAGTGGCCTGCTGACGGGCATTGCGTTTGTTCCAATCCTTTGTACCTACAAACAGTGCTCTAAGAACAGCAAATGTTCCTACAAGTACTTCTTTGCACACACTGAAATATACAGGAAAAAACTGGTTCACACACACAGCCAAACGGGGCTTCCAAGAGATGCAGTCAATTTCCAGGCCACCAACAAAATGAGCGGCTTGTTTCGGCACAGCCTCACCAACTCGATGTATTATCTAGGTGGATTTTTCCTGCTGTGATTGAAGCTGAACATTTTTCATGTACATAAAAGTTGTTTATATTAATTTAACTGTTCGTGACCTTTGCCCATTTTCTTATTTATCACAGAAGCCTTTATATACTAAGACTGGCTCTAAGTCTCATGTGTTACAATATTTTTCCCCATTTGTCTATTTTTAACTTTATGGTATTTTTCACTAAAATTTACATAATATTTTTAGTGATGCATCTGATGTTAATCATTTGTAACAAATTGGCAATTAAACTAACATGTTTTTATAGAATACTGCTTTCACTTTAGTTGTGATGCTCTAGCCGTAAGTAACAAAATTCAACTCGAACTGGTTTAAAACAAGAAGGGGCTGTATGGATGTAAGGGACAGACGTGCACAGCCAGACCAGGCATCACGGCTTCCTGTGCTTCTTACACTCTGTCCTCTGAACGTCAGCCCGCCCTGGCCTGCGCCCAGCGGGAATTCGGCTGCTCATCCACGCACAGCGTCATCCAGAAGGAAAACAATGTGTTCCTAGGGGAGCAGGGAGGGATTTCCCCAGAACTCCTCAGTAAACTCTCTGAATTCCCTGGGCCCACATGAGTCACATGTCCATTCCTGAACCAATCACCGACACGAGGATCAGTCCTGAGCTAGGCCGAGGGCCAGCTTCTCTGACACATACACTTGGTATGTGAGGAATGGGGGGACTGGGAAGGCAACCCACCGGTAACGCCCCTCACCATCAGCAGATGTTTTCTAAGCTCTGACCCTGCGTGATGGTGCGGGGTTGTGCAAGTGCCTGGGGGAGGGGCCTGAGTGGAGACGGCCATCCATCACGGGGGTGTGAATGTGCCCTGACACCACCAAGAATATCTGAAGGAAAATATTCAGGGGAAAAAAGTTAACACTTATTGCTTCAAATCTGATCCCACTACCACGGCTGTGAACTTGGCGTACTAACCAGAATGTAACCCGAACAGAAAAGGCAAATAAATTAGATGATGCTATATCTGAAATGATGCCAATGTAAATATTCCATCTTTCAGAAATTCTGACTTCATTAACAACTTCATAGTGCTAAAGCCACAGTGTACATTCAGTTCCTTCCTTTCCTTCAGCATCCAGCACCAAGGACAATCCAGACTTGGGGACACAGACCACAGCACTAGGACCTTCCTTGATCCAGACTCTAGGCACCCACGTTTTCAGAGATCAACTAAAATACACAGAGCTCTATTTTCTATAGTTTGCTATAGTAAGTGAGCACGTGCCATAGGCTTCTCGGTCATGCAAACCCTATGGTCTTTTTTCAATAAAACACCTCGCCACTAATATTTATCTCTGTATCTGTCCGCGTGAACTGCCCATCTTTTAATTTTCAGTCCGTCATTCCAGAATGTCAAGATCTTGCTTCTGTCGCCCCACCCACTGTACCAGCTGCTCCCTCCCAGTTCTACCATCCCCATCTGTAATCTGTTAAGCACGCCTCCTACATCCTGATTCAAGCAGTGATAAAAGCCAAAACCTGCTTGATGGAAGCATGCTCTGCCTGACTGATGAGGTGCAGTTACTGATGCATCTCTATCAGCCACCAGAGCGCCCGGCTCACCCTATGGACCAAAGCGATCCACAAGGGAGGCCGTCAACATTTTCAGAGACATTCTCAGTTAAGTGACTGTCAGCAGAAAATGGTAACGTGAAAAAAAAATTATCACTAAAAATATGTAACTCTTACAACTCGCCAATGAAAGGACAAATATCCCAATATTCAAAATTGGGCAAATGATCTAAATAGACATTTCTCCGAAAATGATACATAAATAGCTAATAAGCATATGAAAAAGTGCTCAATATCATTACTCATCAAGAAAATGCAAATCAAAACCACAATGATATACCATTTCACACCGACAAGGATGGCTATGATCAGAAAGTCAGATAATAACAAGCGTTGAGTATGTGGAGAAACTGAAACCCTGACGAACTGGTGAGGAAAAATGGTGCAGCTGCTCAGAGAACAGTCTGGCAGTTCCTCAGAAAGCTGAACAGAGATGCCATGTGACCTAGCAATGCCACCCCTAGGTACATATCCAAGAGAAATGAAAACATACGTCTCTACAAGAACATGTGAATGTTCACAGCAGCAGCATCTGTAACAGCCAAAGTGGGAACAACCCAAGTGTCCACCAACTGAAGGATGAATAAGTAAAATATGATCTATCCGTTCAATGTAATATTACTCAGCCATAAAAAGGAATGAAGCACTGACTCATGCTACAACATGAATGGACCCTGAAAATAAGAAGCCAGACCAAAAGGCTGCATAGTGGATGACTCCACCTGTACGATGTCCAGAATAGGCAAATCTGCAGAGAAAGCAGATTAATAGATGCCTACGGCTGAGGGCATTTGGGACAAATGAAGAGCGATGGCTAATGGGCACAGGATTTTCTGTAGGGAGGAGAAGAAAATGTTCTAGAACTGATTGTGGTGAGGGCTGTACAAGTCTGTGAATAGACCGAAAGCCATTTAACTATTTTTCGAATGGGTGAATTGTCTGGCATGTGAGTTACATCTCAATAAAGCTGTTAAAATAAATTAAGTGTCAAACAGAAAAAGCTACTCTTCACCTTTCATGCTGACGCACACGATGGCCAACACGGTACATATAATAACTGCCAGGAGAATGATGAGAACGATCAAGTAACTGCTGAGCAGGCCTCCGCCGGCACAGTCCAGCTTCCCTCTGTGCATCAGGTACAAGGTCAGGATGCCAATCCACCTGTTGAGAAACAGGGAGGGTCAGAAATGAAATCAAAGGAGCTGCTTCGTAGAACATGATAAAGAGAAATAACAGGAGTTAATATTTTCCAAAACAAGGGTGAGGTTCGCTTTAGAATATAATCTTCATCAATAAAAGAACTAGGTCAACTGAGAGTACGACTTTTTAAAAACGAGTTTTATATTTCTCATGCTTATACCATCGCTCTTACTCTAAGCCCACTGTAATACATGAGAGGCATTCACAGCCTTAAGAAAGCAAATCTAATTTAAAGTGCTGGAAAACAGCCCCCTTGTGACTCAGAAATACGCGACTGGTAAACCAACACACTGTATGCTTGCTAAATTAACATGGGAATTTTTAGTTCCGTGTAACAAGAAATTGATGAACACCCACTGCAATGTGCTGTGTGTAATCCAAGATACGAGGGGGCAGATGGTAAGTTATACAACGATGTTCCGTGGTGAACGCCGATAAACTTGAAAGGACAAGTACTGTGGACTCGTAAATGTATTTTGTATTTCAGTGCAGAATGAAATACAGCACCAAACAATGCAAAGTAATAGTGACTTGTCGCTGGACGTGTTTCAGCCCAGGGCGAGAACACTATATTAAGGATTCAAGCCCAGACTAAGGATTTTAGTCCAAGTGGAAATAAACTAGATAACTTTCTATGCTTTTGTCAGTTCTGTGATATTATGACTCTGTGTCTAGAAACAGTAATGGGAAATGATCTCGGAAAGACCTGGCTCTGAAAACTATGAAACGACTGAGCAGCAGTTCATAACGTTTCGTGTTTTTATTCCTTTCCACTCTGCTGATAGCCCTGGTATCAGTCCCGGCTCAGGCCTGCGGATCCCGATTCCACGCTCTGAAAGACAAGCGCGTACGTGCCAAGCAAGCCTGTCCGCTTCCCACGGAATTCGGCCACGACCGGCTGGAGGACCGCAGCGCGCG